CCGGGGGGTACAAATCAAATTTTTATCATGTGAATTGTAAGATACCCGGGTACCTTATACGGCGTTTTACGGTAATTTCACGAGGATTTGTGGCTTTGTTTATCCAATTAAGTATAAAAGTATAAATTCAAGGATTTCCAAAGTTTCCTAATTCAAAAAATAATGAACGATAGAACTGAAAAAGAAGTGGCAAGAGAAGTCTTCTCTACATTATATTCAAAGAAAAAAAATGCTCAAAAAAGTGTAATCAAGACATATTTTGATGTAAATGCTGGTAAATCATCACTCTCTTTGTAAGATAATGAGTTTGACGTGATTGAAATATAGAAGATACAGACATTATTTATATATGAGTATATTTAATTTAAATGTTAATATCCAAGAATAGATTGGATAAAACATAATTTTTATTGATTACACAAACAAACTATCACTGCTTACTACACAGTCAACAAACGATCATTTATTTTTAACATTCATTTACATTTTCTCACAAAAGTTTTCGAAGATCCGCTCGTCAGTGTCCAAGGTCACGACAATATAATCCGTCAGTTCCTTCTTCTGGCCACGATGTTTTTAAACATAACACCAGAAATTCATACTATCACTGATACAGTAGTAGCAGGAAATCACCATATTGTTTGTATCGATGCATTCATCAAATATAGGTTGCCTTTAAAACTACTACTGATTCGTCACGAAATAGAATTACGTTCGATTACACGATTTGAATTTAATGAGCAACAAAAAATTGTTAAGCTTGAGGATATTTGGAGTTTCAAAGATTTATTGGAAAATTTGCCAATTATTGGATGTATTTATTCTGGAATCTGGAGAAGGTGCACTGGACTCGTTACAAATCAATTAGTGATTTTAGCACAAGAAACTATTAAGGTTTGGAAGTATGAATCGTAAAAAGATTATAACATTTATTTCTTTAATAATTTTATTAATAAAGTGTGAAAGAAATTTTGTTTATATAATTGGCATATATTTACACTAACATAATCTATTAAATTATATTAGTCTAAGGCCAATGCGAAGTAAAAAAAAAAATGTTATTAAAATTTTATTCACATTTCCATGTAATAAAACAAATTCTATGCTAATATAGAAAAATTTTTTAATTTTTATAAATACTCTTTTTTTTTTTTATCAAGTCCCAGTACCAAATGTTTTGACCTTGATAAAACCTCATAACATCTTGTAAACCACCGGTGATGATACCAACACCAAGTCCAATCATGCAAGCATATTTAATGCTTTGTCTCGGCAATCTATCTATATAAATGAATAAATAGATTTGTTTAGATAAATTCAACTAAAAAAAAAAAAAAAAATCGATCAAGTAAAATTAAACTAAAATTTTACATAGTCCCGAAACGATCAAAGCTGTAGTAAGTCCGGCTCCACACGAATTCAGAATATCATTTTCTTTCCTAACTTCATCTAACATAGCTTCCAGTCCCGTGAATGTTAAACATACTAAGCTCGTTTTCATCGCTAAACGTACACCACTTTTCATACCACCAATAATTATTCGATAATTTTTTCTTTTATGATAAAAATACCATCCTCCTTTGGTTGTTGGTAATTTATGAGCATTTTCGGCCAAATATTGTAGTCCAGCTTTTTTTCCTCCTTCGTATGAGCCAAGTATTAGAGACCAAGCACCAGTAAAATATAATACTGTAGTTATGCGTTCAGTTGGTGTGAGACTTGCTCGAAGTTTGTAGGACGGTGTTGTGGTTGAGGTTAATATTGAATTTTGTGTGTTATTTGACATAACAATGATTTGCGATAGTGATATGAATCAAAAATCGATAAGTCAAAAAATTGGCCAAATTGATTTAAAACTTTCGAAGCGATAGCGATAATTTAATGATTATCTACACAAGTTAAATAGAAAGTCAGAAACACGAATCCGGATCAGTCCGAAAAACTGATTAGATCTGATTGACCAATCAAATTTCGTCATAGACTACTGGACTATGCCTCTACCGTCCTTCGGACAATAATAAATTTTAACTAAAATTTATAAAACACGATTCGTATTTTTTTGATTTTTTTCAAAAAATAATAATAATAAATTCCCAAGAGGTACTGGAGTCAAGAGAGATATATAAATTGGGTTCCTTACGATATACCTTATAATCGTGAAATACGGACCCAGTCTTCAACGGGCGTTACAAAACTTGTAACCAATCAAATTAGATAAAATCATGTGACAACTAATCACGCCTAATTGACAAAATCGGCTCCAAAAGAGGTAGTCAGAATAATATTAATAAGATACAGTACCAATAGGATAATATCCCATTGTTATTGTATCCCTATTGAACTTAATTTTTCTTCTACGTACGTACGTACGTACGTACGTTAATTAACCAATTCAAAGTCAGTTTCTAATCACGTACCAGTTCAAGTACAAGTACGCATCAATAATATTTAAATTGTTACGGCATGAGCCGTAATGGTTTCTACACATGTATCACATCTTTAATCTGCATACAGTTTATAGGTTATAGCTTATCATAAACCATGGACAAACTGAAAAAATTGCTGATAACCTGAATTGATAAGTTACTGAGTTGAAATCAATAGGTTACTTACCTATACCGAAATCAGAAACTTCTCGATTTGTCAAAACACTTTTCAGTTATTATAACTAGTACTCGGCCAAATCAAACAAAAACTTGTAGGGACTGGACTCGTGTTAACTCGTGACTCGCGAGTCAAACTCCGAAGAGTACTCGAATATATTCGAATCATAGA